GCTTTTCCCACAGGCCTGGAAATGCCTTCGGTAGTGTACGTCATCCCTCTTATATAGCTAGAGAAGTCAACTGCTGCACTGAACAGTTTTAAGATACCTGAGGCCACTGGGCATCTGAAATTATAGGCAGCAAAATTCTGAGCATTCACGGTAACAATATTCCTGCTTCCCTAGTGTACAACAGCACATTGCAACTTGTGTTTAATCATGTCCATTATCCGTGCATAGTCAGTTTTCACCTTCCTTGAGTTTTTTCATGCCCACCAAAAACTTGGTGAAGAAAAAGGAGGAGTTGCTATAACTTACTCTGACTATATGGAATTGGTCTAGTGAGGCTGTTAGTGGCTCACTGGCCTATGGTTGTAGAATTTTGTCTCATCATCCAATGCCCAGGAGTTTCTTACCCTACCTATGAAATCATAATTCCTTGCAACTCTGATGGTTTACTAAAATGAAGGATGGGTATATCTGCTCAAGCATCCTGATGGATTGCTAGAAGTTAGCATGCATGCTTGCAGAAACAGGAGTTCTGCCTGTTGCATGGCAGACAAGCACAGTAGCCATGCTCTTTGCTACTTGTTAAAGTGGGCATGTGATGTGCTTTTACCCAGTTGCTCACTACCTCATATCCCTTTAAGGAACACACATTTACTACAGTGAGGAGTGTTCTCTGAGCTCCAAGGCCACATGCGGTTGAAGCTAAAGTGCATTGCCCATCTGACATCTCAAAGTTCTCATCTTCATGCTGAAGTGATTGTGTCCCTTGACTTGTGCCCTTGTTGGCTGAATAGGATACAGGAGCCCCAGTTGGTAGTCTAGACTGACAGAGGAGTGGAGTTATCTGCACACTTAGAGCACGAAGAGAATGGAATGCTGGTTTGTATTCTTAATTTCCATTTGACCAATTGGCATTAGTACTATGTCATGCATCACTAATGATAATATACAACAGCTATCAAACTTCAGGCATTCAGGGTAGTCCACCTTTGGGGATCCCTGAGACCACTGTTGATAATGTCTCATGCAAGTAGCTATGACTTGAACCTTAAATTCAAGTTCTAGGGACTTTAAGATGGTTAAAAAAAGATGAATACCTCCATCACTCATTTGGAATTTGCTCAGTTTTGTTTGTGATATTGGGATGGGGTCAGTCAAACTTGGTGACTGGGACATGGGCTGGGAGTCAGAATCTCAGGGATCCATTTTTGGCTATGGCATTATCTTGGGGTGTGGTTTTTGGAAAGTCACCTGACCTCTTTGAAATAGCTCAGGCTGCTGCTATGCAAACTCTTCAGAGGCCAGTAATATAATGGGTGCTGTTGTTTTCCAACAAAATACGTTCTTCCATTGTGTGGTAGTTCACATTTTTAAATGTCAAATAGGATGTGTTCTTCAAGCCCTTCATATGTGGAACATCTGAATGAAAGCAACAGGAGCTGTACCTTGGGAAGACTTTCAAGACTGATCCACAGATCTATGTTGAACTTCCAGATAAACAAAAAGCAGGTCAGGGGGTTCTGTACCTTTGGAATTTGATCTGTTATAATTAGGTATGCCAACTGTCAGTAAAGTTACAGTCAGTAAAAATCAGGCTACACATGGCTGTCAGTAAAGTTTGTGAAAAAACTTTAACAGTCAATAAAAATACTAAGCAACCATAGTTTGACTGAAACTCCAATGGGCAGAGCAGAGCAGTGCCACTTAGTGTCTGAGCAGGAGCATGGCACCCTGCAGAGAGTGTTCACTCAGCCATGTACTGCTGCTGCTGTCCCCCAAACTGCCTGTTATACTGCTGGGTTGAAGATAGGCTTCTTTGAGGGTCCATGCCAGGACAAGGAAAGAGGTGTCAGTGAGGTAAAGGCTGGGGGATGGGGGGGGTGGGGGGGAAGCATGGTGCAGGGTGCAGTTGGGGGCATTAAGGTGTAGAGGTGAAAAAAAGGGAGTCCCTGGCTGGGGTTGGGGGGAAGCACAGTATAAAACTATCACTGCCAAGTTGCCTACCCAAGAACATTTTTTTATTGCAAACTTTTTACTTTTTTAATATGGTTGATATTAACCCCTAACTTTGAACCCAGCCCTTCTAACTAGGGCCTAGCTAGGGTGACCATCCATCCTGGTTGGAAATATGGAATATCTGGGACACTGCCCCCCTCTCTCCTTCTCCTCTTTTCCCTCTGTCCCCCACAAATCAGTGGCACACTGGAGGAAGAGGCTGAAGCAGAACAGCAGCCTGCCCAGCCACTTTACTGGGACACTGCATCACTTCCCTTCCCTGCCAGACTGTGTTCCACATGTGGGACACTCATTTTAATCTGCACCCCATGCCCAGGACCCTCCTCCAAAATCTGGGACTCTTGTGGGATGAATGGAACAGATGGTAACCCTAGGCCTGGCAAAAGGGTTACATTTTCACAGTCAGGGTGGCTAGGATCTGGAACCAACTTCCAAGGGAAGTGGTGCTGGCTCCTACCTTGGGGGTCTTTAAGAAGAGGCTGAATAATTACCTAGCTGGGGTCATATGAGCCCAGTATTCTCTCCTGCCCAGAGCAGGGGGTCGGACTTGAAGATCTACTTAGGTCCCTTCCGACCCTACATCTATGAATCTATGAATTTACCCTATGTAAAACATCTATCAGTAAAAAAGTGTGGCTGTCAGTAAAAAAACTTGCAAAATGCCAAATATTCTTGGATTAGCAACCCTGGTTGTAATGGAGTCATGTACAGATTTTGCCACATTTAATGGTGAAAGATTCAATTCCTTATCTAGGATCACTGTTCATGGTGAACACTAATATGGCAGGCATTTAGGTGACAGCTTCAAAAGAGTTCAAGCCACTTAGAAGATTGTCAAAAAGGGACATTTTGGGAACTTTGCACAGGTGATTTCTTAATCATACAAGTATTCTTAATGTCTTAATTAAAACTACTTGTGTGATTACAGGCATACCAGTATAGCAAGTATTGAATAAGTGGGGGTTTTTTTTAGAAGCAATTTGTCAATGAAAAGTGTTTATGTAGGAAAAGAAGAATAATAGATCCTTGCTAATCTGCATTTTAGATAATCCATTGGCATTTGACAGCTTCTATTTATAGGGAATCTTCTAAAAGATGCTGAAAAATGAACCAACATTACCTTTTTTTTAATGTGGGCACTTAACTGCTAAAAGCATGACATTAATACGGGTAGAAAATGACTGATGATATCGGGTTGAAAGAGCAAGTAGTATTTGAAAACAATAGCTTATCTAAATGCAAGTATCCTTTCTGTTTAAGTTTAATTAAAATGAAACATAATTTAGTATTTCATAAGACTAAGAAGCTAGAGTGTGACTTAATGAATACAGTGTCTGCCTATTTAATGGTCTTTAAAATACGGCTTTAAAATTTGTTACTTTTAAATAAAACATTATCAACAAATATTAAATATGTAACAAAACTTCATGTTTAATGTTTAACTGATCTTTAACTGTATGGGCTAGCTTTCCTTTCCTTTAAGCTGTTGCAACATGTGGATTCCTGTTGTCAAAGAACACTACCAGCAGGCCTCGCTGACATGTTTGGGTCAGCTAGAGAAAGACGGATACCATAATTTTCCTATTTTTTGACAAGAGAGCTAGAAACACAGGCAAAATGAATATGTGAATTTGTTTCCCAGGCAGTGCTAAGGGGTGCATTCTGAGTGACTTGCAACAAGAATCTCAAGCAAAATTTCATCTCCCCATTTGTACATAATCCTATACATTTCCTTCTGATGTTAAATAACTGGCATTCTAGTAAGCCTTCTTTCATTCTCATCTCATCTTTCATGGTGATATGTATGATGTAATGATCTGCATATTGACATATGAAATATGTCATTTTGATACTTAGAATGCTATTTAAAATAATAAAACGATCTCTAAATCTCTACTAATAATTTACTGTGTTTTAAATACTCACTGGTGCTGAAACTTGTAGGCTAGGAAATTCTACAATTTCATCCTAAAACACAAAGCATGCAATATATTTTGCTCCCTAAGATTGTTCTAAAATAAATAGTTTTCAGTAAGATTTCATGTACATATTAAGTTGTATGTGCGTGTGTGTGCATGTATGCGTGTCTATGTATAAGCACACATTTTATTTATCTTAATGGGAGTTTTATGCAGAAAAGGTGCTACAATCATGGTTTAGATTATGCAGATTTGTATCAGCAGAGAAAGGGAGAGAATCAAGCTGAATGCTTACATTAAGAAATATATGCCAAGTAAACAATGCTCATTTTTAGAACTTACAAAGCATGTAATAATATATAAAAAAGATGACTCTCAAAATGCTCACTGTTGCTCAAATATCCTTCACTCATTTATAAAACACAAATGAAGTGTCATTTCCTTCCATTTAAACTAGAACTGAACACCAATTCCATTAAAGTTAACGCATAAAAAAAGTTAATGGCTACCGGATTGGCTATTATAATACCATGTTCCTTGAGACTTACCAGCTACTCTGCTTGGTCCGTCCCACCCAGGAACTGGCTCTGCTGTCCTTGAATAGAGGGTTGGGAGTTCGGGGATCTGGGAGTAAATGTAATTTACTGCATCTGGTGTCAGAGAATAGGAAATACAGTTAGATACAGTGGTATGAACCCGTGGCTTGATTGCTTAGACAGCAGAGTCTTAACTTATCAATCCAAACAATAGACATCAGAGCTTTGTACTAAATAACTGGATCAAACTAAACAAAGTGCAAAGTCATTGTCATGTGACTGGTGCTCAATAGACTAGCTGAGGTAGGACAGAACAAGTCCAGATGACTCAACTTCATCAGTTGCTTGCACCAAACTATTTGTCAGGAGGTTCTGGATTAATCAGGTCAGTGACCTCAAAAAAAAAAAAAGAGTTGTGGGGAGAGGAGTGAACCTTGTACAATGGCTACTAAATGCCATTTTAATTAAAAATATGGATATAACACAAGAGCTAAAAACTCCGGAGGCAACCACATGGAATGAAAGACACGTTCTTTTATGTTATTTATGTGGCATTTTGGGAGAGTGAGCTGGCATTTGGCTTTGATTTCTAAAGCTGAGTTTAACTGTAAAAAACAACAGATAGATTCTGGTTGATACTATGTCTACTACAGCATCCTACTTACCATAAATACCATAGCATATTTTATATACTGAAGGTAAGTAACAAAAAACAATTGAAATATATATTTTTTAAAGTTGACCAAAAATCAATCAAATTTATGTTCAAAACTTTATCTTTTATCTTTTCTCAGGGGTATATCCTATACACTGGAAAATATGACATCTTATTCAATTAGGAATTTACATAGTTTGCAAATATTTACAAAGTTTCAAGACAGGCTGCAGTGAAAGGGAAATTTTATTTACTTTAAGGACATCTTACCTGCTTTAAGGCTAAGTTTAACACAGATATTTTAATCCAGTGGCCACAACCTTTTGGCCCCACTGGCTGGATGAAGGGCATAGGGCCTATCTGTGGGCCAGATCAGGCCCTGGGGCCCTGCATTGCCTCTTCTCTGCCCTGCACGCTGCGATTGGACCCTGGGGGCCTGGTGCTGCCCCTGTCTACCTCCTACACACCAGGATTGGGTGCCAGTGGCATGATGCCACCTTTTCCTGTCCCTGTGAACTGGGATCGGGTTCTGGAGTGCTGGCAAAGCCCCCTGTCATTTTCTCCACACAAGGATTGAACCTTGGGGCCTGATGCTGCCCCTGCCCAGCCCTGAGTGCTGGGATTGGATGCCAGATCCAGTATGCAGGGCCTGGGGCTCCCCACAGGTCTAGAGATTTGGCAGCAGGGGAGCAATGCCACTGCTCCTCTCCCCTGCCCAAATTTCCAGACCTATGGGCCAAATGACATGGCACTTTGGGCTGTGTCTGGCCTGCGGGCTGGAGATTGAGCACCCTTAGGTTAAGCAATTTGCCCAAGGTGACTCTAGCAGAGCCAGGGGCAAAACTAAGAATGGAGCTGGGCAAATGAATGATTTTAATTTAGTGGTTGCACCAAAAGCTGAAAAGATTTGGATTGACCTGAAAACTGTTCAGATGT